GAACAGAGCTCTCAGTCACAGTTTAACAAACACTACTGCTCTAAAGAACACACATTTGCTGCAGCTATTTGAAAAAGTACAAAGCCTGGTGGAAGTGCCTGTCTGTTTTTGTGCGTACAGCATGTGTATACATCTGTAATGTACATTGAAACTTGAAACCCTGCTTTGTTGATGGATACATGTGTGCATTCTTCATGCATGTGTGTGTATTTATGTACATGTAAATGTGTGAGCGTGTGTACTTTGGCCATGTGCCTTGGTAAACTCTGCTGGGTAAAAGAGAGAGTGAACAGAGCCAGTACTCGTCATTTTCTCTATTAGCTCTCTGAGTTTTCTTGACAAAGCCTGCTATTCATCTGGCCTGAACGTTCTTTACTTTTGACCCATGTAAGCTTCCAAATCCAGCCACTGTGTGCTTTATCAAGCTGTTATGGAGCCTTATTTGTGGGAATATATTTATATTTAGCATTCATTTTTGGAAAAGGGGTTTACATAACTCACTCATATCTGGTGAGCAAATATGAATTCTTTACAATGTCTCTCATAGAAGTTTTTTTTTTACAAAAGTCCTCTACAAAAAAAGGATGCAAAAGCACCATACGATACGTTAAGGTGCTTTTTCATCTTTTTGAAGCTTATACTGGTTTGGAACAACAAGAGAGTGCAATGAAGACAGAATTTTGGACCACTTGTATCATATCAATATGACTATATTTCAAGTCTTTAGAAGTCATCAAAAGCTTTGTTTCACGAGTTCACACTTACATATAATTAGAGTAAAGGTTATGCGTATTTGGCGTCCTCTCCGAGGGAAGGGCTCCGAGCTCGGAATGTGGCCCGAACCCAGAGTACTCCATCCCAGGTTGGGATAGGAATAGTTAGAAGTGAGGAGATGGGGTGGTGGAAGGGATGCTGGAAAACTGTCATAGAACAGAGGCAAGTCTGCTGAATATATACCTCTCCTGATGCTTATTGAGTGGACTGGATGAGCTCCTCCCATGTTAATTAGGTTAATTATCTGAAAGTGCTCATCCCGAACTTTGTTAATAAAACATCATGTGTCAATCAGACCAATTTTATGTCGTCAGTCACTCGATATCTTACACTTTAGTTAGATCTTAACTCAAGAACTGCCATCGGCTGATTCGTTGAAAAAAAATCCAAAAGTCTTAAAAGAATTTGTTCACTCGTGAATGTGCCAAGGAGGCCGGATATTGGGATTTTTTTATGCAAATATAAGTGCATTTGTCACACAAGCTATTGTACGGCTTTAAAAGACTTGAAAAATAATGTGTCATTTTTGTGATAATTTCATGGTGCTTTTGTATCCTTTTTACAGCTTGCAAGTTCCCAGTCATGTAACTGCATGGAAAAGAGCTAAATGTATTTGTCTGTGTTCAGAAGAAAGGAAGTCATTCTTGAAATGACATGTGGAGGTCGAGTAAATGATGAACTTTCACTTTTAAGTGTGGTAATCTTTTAATTATTTCTGTAAACCAGATCTGAGCATCAAAAATATTCTTTCCACATGAACAGATCATTAGTACAAGTACAACCCTGCTGTGTTCAGGGAAAACTTCAAGCTTAAGCCAAATGATACTCAATTTAATTGCAATATACACTGATTTTTAAACCAATCTGAAAGCTAGAATAACAAAAAGAAAATGTGGTGTAATTTCTTACTAACATGGTAAAGTTGGAGATGAATGCAGAAGAGGACAAATCCACCTCAAAGGCCGCCTCCTTAGTGATGTGGAGCTGGTTCCACACGGTGCTCTCCACTGTGGTTACAGCATAGCGAGACACTACAGAACATCGCACATGGTAATCCGTCACCTTGAGCTAAGGGCACAACAAAGACCAAAACATGATACATTAATATGCCAAGTCACATTATACACATAGGGGAAAACAGGGCTAGTTGTCACACCTTTTATTTCAAAAGTCTTGGATATTAAAAAAAACCTATTAAACACTCCCACGGATTCAGTTTATTGAGATTCTTTCCTTGACAAGACAACTTCCCTGTGTGACAAATAGCCCCAATCTCCGCTATCTGTACACATGTACATAAATATTTTAAAGTTGACTGGGGATATCTGACATAAGACAACAATTTTAAAACGACATTGCTTTATCAAACCATTTGTATGATTAGCGTGTTACTGTTGATTTCTCAGGACTTTTGAACTGATGTCAGAGCTCAGTATATAGAACATCTTGATCTGTTTACTTGAACCTGATTCAGACCGCATTGGTCTGGCAACAGAAAAGCCAGTCTATCTGAACACGGCATACAACAGCATAGCGCTACAAGAAGCTTTGTATATAATTATAAAGTTATCAAGATTGTGACACAATCAGGTATTCAAATAATTAGAGCAAGATTATACAAACGAAGAACAGTTAAGACTAAAAGATATCCCAAATTTGAGCTTCTGGCAGTACAATGTTAAGATTACAGAATTTTGCACTCTGTGTCCAGTGGCAGATTTGGATTGTTCTGGTCATATTGCTTCTAACTCGTTCTCATGTATTTTACAAGAATAAACATTTGGTTTCTTGGTTTCTAAAATGAAAAGGAACTCATGGGTCAAAAGGCTAGAACACTATTTTGTGATTTATGGAATTTCACAATAAACCCAAGTAAAACAAATAACAGAGGCATTTATCTTAATATTTACAGTTTAGTACCAAACAAAAATTTAGCTTTTACTGTCATACTTACTGCTGGTTTTGCTGCTGAGGTCTGACGTCTCGGTCTCTGAACAAAAAACAAAAACAAAGTAGCATGTCAGGCTTATAGCTTTTTTCTTGATATCTCCTGACCAGTATAATGTACTCTTATACAGCTGTATTTAGTAAAAGTACGCCACGTAAAAGTATTCTTAATGAAGAATTATTTCCAGCTAGGCGTTATAAAGACCCAAAAATAAATCTGTGTTTGTTCTTACTAATTCCTTAGTGCAACTTACCTGTAAGTATCCATTTAAACTTGGTAAACTTGATTAACTTAAATTACCAACCATAAATTTACCTTTGCGGGCAGAGGCATACATGAAGAAATAGTTTGAAATACTGTCAGTATTCTCAGATGCCAGTGGTTTGGTCTTGATCTTACATTAAAATAGACTGAATCAAAGTCATTCATGAAAGGGGTGGAAATGGAACTAAAATACTGTACACACAAGGCCACTGGAGGATTTTACATGTTAACTTTAGACACAATTCACTGCTGTGCCAATTTATTACCACATCTACTGGAGATTGTTGCAAATATAAACAAAATGCTAAATATGGGAAAGAAATCTGTCTCTGCTACTATGAATTTCCAGTACACTCTTTAAATGAAACCACTGTGACAATATTACATCACATTTTATAATAGGGGTGAATTCAGGTTGATACTTTTTGCCATTGAGATGACTGAGGAAAAAGTGTTGCAATCAACCTGAATTCACCCTAATAAAACAGCTGCTAAGTAATCATGACATAAAATTGTGTTAAATATATGCAAGAATTTGCATAATATGTGAATGTAGAAAATTCATAGGGCAGCACCTTCATGATATTCTCCCTTATCTTTCTGCTTTCCTTATTTGACCCAGAATGAATCCATAAAACATTTGTACAGAATTCAGAATTTTTTCACATAGAATCTTTATTACAACTTCAAGATTCCAAATAACGCAAAATATGAACTACATCTTTTAGAAAACACTGCAGCTCGGAATAATTAGACTATTATGATTTCAAAATACATTTTATTTACCTTGCTCTCGTTTGATTTCGTAAGTACGTAATCTAGGTGCAAAAATAAAATGATTCTTTAAGTAAATAAACCCTATTTATAGAATGAAATAATATTCCACCAGAACCGAAATTCCTCAGATGTTTTCGCGCGTAATTATGTGACGAGGTGCACTTTCAGTGTAGCACAAAATAGAATCGGTCACTCAAAACAAACTTCACGTCTTACTCGTTTACTTTTCAGAGGAAACGTCACAGAACATAGAGAAAAATAATTACTAAGTGCAAAAATATGAATAATAGTTTTATTACCAAGTAGGCTACACATACCTGGAGAGGGACTGAGTGCGCGCCCGCGTGCCCACATCCAAAATAAACAACAGTAAGTAGGATGAAAACAACTGCGTGGACAGTCAAATCCAATTTAACATCCATGCTTCAGTTTGTGTGGGAAAAACCAAAACCACTGTTTTGCTCGTAAGACGAGTGCGTAAGGTCTTCTACTGACTTCACATTTTACGGCACACAGTTGTTTATAAAAAGGGTAGTATTGCCCCCTCCCTTCCAAAGAGATCCTAAAAATGATACTGAACCCACGATAATGCCATGAGAGAGATGGATTTCACGTGTACATGCTGGAAATTTCGCCACGGTTTTGGGGGGGACAAAAAACCACAAACCATTAACCCGTGATTGCCCACAGTTCTAAAAATGTCTGCCAGCTTTACAGCCGTTAAATAATTTTTCTAAACCACATTACTGTCGCTATATTTTATGTAATTGAATAACTGAATTTTTACTATAGAAATCTCAGTTAGGCTGGAATACACTTTTGGAGAGGCTCTCATGGACATACTAATAAATTATGAAGTGTGAGGAGTAAAGCGGCTTGAGACTGCTAGCTCTTGTGAGATATTTTGATGAGTGATGACTAATATAGATTTATTTGTTTGGTTGCTGTCCATGGTACTGGTAACTAACTGAACAAGCTTCTGAATACTGTATAATGAATGCATAAAAAGGGCATTATTACTACCAGCTCTTTGAACACATTATTAAAACAGCCAGATTAATAAAATAAAGGCTACATTCAGTCATAATAGGGATTTCACCTGTTTTCTACTAAACATTTTAAAATAAGAAAAGGTAAAAATAATTCACTCTTTAGTTGCAATATCTATTTCAACTTGTAACATTATGCCACCATCTATGAACAAAATACCAAAATACTTGATTTGATTGAAAAACTAGGTTTCAAAAGCCCAAGACCACTAGTGAAAACGCAAAAATTGTGTTTTTTATTTTCTAATTTAAAACAAAATATATGATCAGCATAATTTAAAGGAGTTTAATTAATTTAAAGAGTTGGGAAAAAATACATTTCATAGTGTCATCCTTTTTGCTTTCATATTAAAACAACAACAACAACAACAAAACATTCCCAGATGTGGTCTCAGACTTTTGGACCAAACTGTCCATAATCAAGTCTTAATAATCTTAATAAAACACATGCTTCTGTCCTTTTTTATATTCTTCATCCAACCTTGCTATCTGTTTACACAATCTATATAGGCTACAGTATGTGTAGATAAATTGTGCAAAAATGGCAAATTTTAGGGGGTTTTTTATGATTATAGATGTTCAGGTACAGTCCGGAGTGCTTCTTCTGGCTTTCTTGCGATATTCACATTCTGAAATGCAAACAATAAATCCCTTTTAGACACTCATCAGAGTTTAAAAATCGTCATTCCATAGGGTTTCATGACTTACTGTAGGTTTGTCCCTGTGAGTATTCACTGCTTGGATGTTCAAATAGAAGGACTCCACTTTGCATCCTGCAAGGAGGGCATAACCGAACACATGACAGTATTTATTGCTCAAAAGTATGTGCAGCACTTTCCATGAATAGGGTACAGAATAAATTAAGTCATTTGTAATGAGGGAAAATCGTGTGGTAACAGCACACCTTTAAGACATAACAGGACACCAAATTATGTTTGAAATAAAGCCACAGCTATACCGACTCACCATAAGCTAATGGAGTCAGTTTGAGAACAGTATGCAGAGGACACTTCAGGTATGGTAGATCATCTGTGGAGAAATCAGAGATGTATAATTGACGATGCTATCAAAGTGACCAATTGCATTTCATAGTCTGTGACAGCAGTGTCCGGTTGCTTTTGGTTTAGACCTGCACTTTTGTCCAGAAAGTAGGCCAGTAGACAACGCATGACTGCCTGGTGACAGATGACCAGCACATTCTCTTGTCTCTCAAGCTCCATTATGACTGGCTCTAGACGGTGCACCAGGTCTTCATAAGACTGCAGAACACAAGAAAATGGCATATTTCCCTATATATTTCCACATACAAATTCATTTGTGTTGTGGACAGAACTCACTTCACCCTTTGGATATCGGTAGCGGTACTTGTCTTGGTCTCTTAAGGCAAATTCTTCTGGATTGGTTGCCTGAATTTCCTCGTACGTCATCTCTTCACATACACCCTTAAAATGTCAAGATGTAACTCTGTTACATATGCATTTCATGTGCAATTGTGCATACAACTTTAATTCAAAGCATGACTAGATTACCGCATCGATTTCATTCAACGCCTTCCACTGTTCATATGGGACGCCCAGTGCCTCGGCTGTCTGTATGGTCCTTCTCATGTGGCTGGTCCACACCTTCAGGTCCTTGATGGATTGACCCCTGATGAACTCGGAGAGGGCCCTAGCATACTGAGCAACAAGATAGATGCAATTCTAATCTACATGTTTGTGTTTAAGGAAGGTTCAAATCAAGTCACAGAATTTATTTCGTTCTTCTATTGCATTTTTATGCTAGAAGTAAAATATTTACAGTCTGCAGGAGAAGTTGCGATAGTCTTTACTTTCCTATTAAAATGTATACAACTTCTTGAACAAGAAAAAAATGTAGGGCGTGACTTGATTTTGTCCATTGGGAATTGATTTCATGTGAGTGACAGGTGACAAGTTGTCCCACCCTTACACATGCACAGTACGGTGATTTAAGCGTTTTAGACGTTTCAGTGTGGAAAAGCAACTTTGCTACTGTGGCATTTCGAAACAAAAATGTGGTTAATGTGGACGTAACAGTTTACCATTAACATTGGTACGCTTTGACACTTTGAGGTGTAAACTGAGATTTTATGCTTAGTTTATTATCTAAGTCACCTTTAGGCCCTGTGAGGAGAGACCTGAGTCACCACCGATTCGTCCCAGCAGGTTGAGTTCACTTTCTCCATGGCGGCTCAGATAGATGGATCGTGGAGTGATGTGGATGTTCATGAGGTAATACACAATACGACTCTGCATGTGATCCTGGACCCGGTTTACGAGGTATCTGGATCCCACATTAAAGATCTTAATGAAGGAGAGGTGCCTATGAAACAGAGGGGATGAAGTTTAAAGGAGTTAAGTCAGTAAAATAAGAAATATTTGTAATTATATATTGTATGTCGTCACCTTCCTAAAATAATTGGGCCGATTTATTTTGCCTAAGTCAAAAGACAATGAGACTTAGGCAATTTTACAAGCTTTTCAAGATGGCAGCTCCTTCAAGAAAAACGAAATAAATATCATATTTTCAATTATTGGTTCAGTTTTTTGTGTTTTCTGAGAAACCTGAAAAAATGACTTTGGTAATTATTTTAGGAAGGTGATGATGTAATAGTTGGAAGTTATGTACAATAACATCATATTAAAGCTGCAGTCCGCAGTTTTTCCTCTTTGTCGTCGTCTCTGTTGGAAATCTGCAATTGCAGTCATTCGAAAAATTATCAATTTTACGTGAGTTGTACTTCAACACCCTCAACACGGCACAGCGCGGATGAACACAATGTTTGAGGAGAGTGTGCAGCTGTCAGGTGTGGATACTGGCATTCAGAATCACAGATTATTCTTTTTGGAAGTATGACCAACATAATAATTTTCACCGGAAAATGTCATCAGAACAAGTAAGAAACATCCACTTTTGTTCTGGTTCTGACATTGCAGTAAATCGCGCTGATTAAATATAACAATCGCTTATAAGTTATCATATCACGCAAAACCGTGCAAATTTAATTATAGGCTACTTTGTTCCCAATTGTTAATGTTAACAACGTCAGCATTGCGTGACTACATGTAATGCCCTTCCGATATGTATCCTTGTTTTCGCATGTCCGGTTGTAGTCTTTTTTTTTCTGTAGCCACTCCGAAGTCCGAACGAAGTCTTTTGCATTTTACAACGGGTGAGTCTCCAGTTGTCACTGGTGATCATCGTTTGAACCTTTCTGGATCCGCCATCAAATTGATAAGTTGAATTATATCAAGTGCTGTGAGAAAAGACTATAAATCTCCACCTCCAACATCCTCACACACAATATAGCCTACTAGCCGAGACTCCTCCTTTATGTGTACAGATGTGACGTAATGACCCAAAGACATGCTCGAATCTCCCGCGGAAATCCACCAGTACCACTGGAGTTAAAAACATTATTACAAGCTTACCGCTTTGAATCGAGCTAAGGCAAGCAGAGAGTTTTGAACACTGGCTGGTTATGCATTTTCTCAAATATGTATTTTGGATAATTTTTAAACCAAAAAAAGCTACAGACTGCAGCTTTAAATTAGAGACTTTGGCAGCAGTGTACCTGTCCTTTTCCTCATCCAGGGAGACATAGGACATTTTGTAGCAATCAATACGTTTCAGGAAGTCCACCAGTGCTTCCTCTTTGTCGTAGTTTTCATAATCCGGGCTGCTTAATTTTACTTGCTGTCAAAATACATCAAATAAAACAAACAAGCAAATATTAATATTATACTATTATTTTTTTATATATAGTTTCACATTATAAATGGTTTAATAAAAAAATCTTACCATTATATTTGCCTCAATGATTTCAGGGTCGTCACAAATCGACTCAATGAAAAACACCTGGACATAAACATTTCTTATGAAATGTTGGTTGCTAAAAACGACAATTTTACAAAATATTAAAGTGTGACAATATTTTAACTGTTTTTAAAATGCTTTATTCTTTAATGTCAATGAACTGCTTACAAGACCAAAAAAACAAAAACAAAAAAAACAGTCAGATATGCTTTTAAAACAGCTATTTTCAGTAACCCAAATATAGCTCACTCCAGAACTAATATAAACAATGTTTAAGATGGGCAGGCAGTCGGATTATGTGACAAAAAGCTGTTACCACAATAAAATGGTTTATTCAGTGTACACTACTGAGGCATCCACTTCATTGACTTCCATTCAAACAGAATGGACTCGTCTCCCCATCGGGATCCTGTCACATTTTTATCTATGAGGCTCCCCCTTGGGAAATGGCTCTGGTTTAAGCATTTTACATTAATAAATACCTAAATTTATAAAATAAATCTTTATAAAATATCTTTGAAAGCTACCATTTTGAGGTAACATCCCACAAATCATCACATTGCACGTTAGGGTTAGGGGTAGGGTTAGGGTTAGAGGGAGTGTGTAGATGTGTGTAGAGGGAGACTTTAATAAAGCAGACTGTTGAATAAAAGTAAAAACCCTGCTGCACCTGCCTTGTAGCCCTTCTCCTTTGCAAAACTGATGATGACGCCTCTTCTCTCCCTCGTGGTATTGGTAGCATCAAATACCTGTGAAGAGTATTTGTCAGAGATTGATTTACATTTCAAGAATTTGCTGACCCCCTTAATAACTGGAGAATTCCAAACTAATCCAGTAATAATAATCTTAATTGTACTGAGTTATTAATAGCTTGGACAGACAGCAAAACTGTAATCCATTACATTCTTGACTCACTGCTACTTGTCCCTGCTCCTTAGCGAAGTAATTGGCAATGTCCTTAATAGCACTTGAGGCACAGGCTCTGAACACATGGAAATACATAGTTACAAAAGATAAATTCAGTTCTCACTTTGAGTTCAAACATATTTAGAAGTTATATATAGTCATCTTAAATGTATTTTACCTGCGTATTTTCATGGCCTCCTCATTGTCCGGACGAAAAAATTCATAGTTCTTGTATGTCTGCACAGCCTCCCTTCGATACTGACCCAAATTAAATACTTTGCATACAACAGCAGAATAAAAATAGTTAGTTAGCAAACAATTTATATTTAAACACACGCACATTTTTTATTAAATCAAATAATGCTAAACATTACATCAGCAAATAATTTAATAATTAACAAACAATGCTTGCCATTGAGAGTACAATTAAGATTATTATTTTAATATATATATACAGTGGGGGAAATAATTATTTGATCCCCTGCTGATTTTGTAAGTTCGCCACTTCCAAAGAAATTAAGGGTCTATAAGTTTTATGGTAGGTTTATTTTAACGGATAGAGACAGAATATCAACCAAAAACACATTATATAAAGGTTATAAATTGATTTGCATTTCAGTGAGTGAAATAAGTATTTGATTCCCAAGCAAAACATGCCTTAGTACTTGTAGAGAAACCTTTGTTGGCAAGCACAGAGGTAAGACGTTTCTTGCAGTTGGTCATCAGGTTTGCACACATCTCAGGAGGGATTTTGGGTCACTCCTCTTTACAGATCCTCTTTAAATCCTTAAGGTTTCTTGGCTGTCTCTTGGCAACTCGTGGTTTCAGCTCCCTCCACAGATTTTCTATAGGATTAAGGACTAGAGACTGGCTAGGCCACTCCAAGACCTTAATGTGCTTCTTCTTGAGCCACTACTTTGTTGCCTAGGCGGTATGTTTTGGGTCATTGTCATGCTGGAAGTCCCATCCACCACCCATCTTCAGTGTTCTGGCTGAGGGAAGGAGGTTCTCGTGCAAGATTTGACGGTACATGGCCCCATCCATCGGCCCCCCAATACAGTGAAGTCGTCCTGTACCCTTACCAGAGAAACAGCCCAAAAGCATGATGTTTCCACCTCCATGCTTGACTGTAGGGATGGTGTTCTTGGGGTCATAGTCAGCATTTCTCTTCCTCAAAACACGACGAGTTGAGTTGATGCCAAAGAGCTCAATTTTGGTCTCATCTGACCACAGCACTTTCTCCCAAGCCTTCTCTGAATCATTAGATGTTTATTGGCAAACTTCAGACGGGCCTGTACATGTGCCTTTTTAAGCAAGGGGACCTTGCGGGCGCTGCTTGATTTCAATCCATTGCGCGTAGTGTGTTACCAATTGTTTGCTTGGTGACTGTGGTCCCAACTGCCTTGAGATCATTAACAAGCTCCTCCCGTGTAGTTCTGGGCTGATCCCGCACCTTCCTCATGATTATCCTTACCCCATGAGGCGAGACCTTGCATGGAGCTCCAGACCGAGGGTGATTGATGGTTATTTTATATTGCTTCCATTTCCGAAAAATGGCACCAACAGTTGTCTCCTCACCAAGCTTCTTTCTGATGGTCGTGTGGCCAATTCCATCCTTGTGCAGGTCTACAATATTGTCCCTGATCTCCTTTGACAGCTCTTTGGTATTGCCTGGTGGTGGAGAGGATGGAATGGAAGATACAGATTCTGTGGACAGGTTTCTTTTATACATATTACGAGCTGACATTAGGAGTACTTTCTTAAAGTGACAGGACTAATCTGTGTTCCACATGGGTACATAACCAATCTGTGGGAGGCAGAATTCTTGCTGGTTGCAAATTCTAATCAATTTACAACCTTTTCAATTTATAATCTGTTTTTCTGGTTGGTATTCTGTCTCTATCCGTTAAAATAAACCTACCATAAAAATTATAGACCCTTCATTTCTTTGTAAGTGGGCGAACTTACAAAATCAGCAGGGGATCAAATAATTATTTCCCTCACTGTATATACTGTATATATACTGCTAACGTAAGCAAGCTTGCCATTAAGAGCTGATCACTTACCTGATGCATACACTCACCTTGAGTTGGGACTCCAATCCAATTTAGGTACCGGGTTAACTTTTTGGAGATGTAGGTCTTACCTCTGGCCGGCAGTCCAATCATCACAATCATTGTAGGGCAGTTTGTAAACTGGGGCCGTGAAGCTGCGGACCAGTAGAAAACATTGACTTTAAAGTATGAGTAGGTTTCGATCACAAGGATTGAGATGTTCTATATGCATTCACAAGATGATGTCAATATAAAATCTATTTGATAGCCTGAATGAAGAATGAAAGTGGTACAAGAAGAGGACTGGCATAGCTTATGGCAGCATCAAAAGAACATACAGGAACCCATTAATTTCTGCACTGAAACCTGTCTATCATCATTAGATTGTCGTTGATTCTATACTGATTTGTACTGAGACGGCAGGGTTATTCATATGACTTGGATAGCGAAGAAAGGCTGAATGTATAAAAACTACTGAAAGAACATCCCACAGCAACCAAGGAATCACATTGGTGATAGTCTTGAAGCCAACTCCAGAACTTAATATTTATTTTCATTCCGTTGCCACAACTGAAGAAACAAAGCTCTCAAGAACACAACTTGCTGCTTGGTGCCGCTTCAAGACGCTATGTGATCAAATGTAGACAAAGGAAGCAGGCAGGGCTAAAGTTCACAACACCTGGGTTGATCATCTACAAGAGGTTAACACCCTTAATGCACCAACAATTTTAAAGGACAGAGAAAAAGCAAATAGCAAAAAAGATACGGAAAGGCAGGTGAATTTAGATATCCCCTCACTTACATCCTCTTCTCTGGCTTGAGGAACTGCTCATCCATGGCACCCATATCTTGAGCAGAGGTGTCTGTGTGAGCTCCTTCTGCTCGGAGGACATGTCGTTGGGCCCTGCACTGCTGACTATGTTTAGAAACTAAGAACACATGGCTGGGTTCCCATCAACCCTGTTCCTGCTCAGGTCACCTGACTGAGGCGGGAACAGTTGGGAGGAGAGACAGGTTTGGCATGGTAGAGAGACAGAATCCTGGCTGCCATTGGTAATTGACTTAATTAACCCTTCGGAGGCTTTGAGCCAGTCACTTTTGGCTTCATGAGAAAAGTGATAGCCATTCCTAAATAAAAATAAAACATTATGTTCAGATATGTTCCTGTATATATTTTCGAAACTCACGGTTAGTCTTAATTATATAGTGTCTTCATTTGTAAAGTTCTCTTGTAAAACAATAAAATTACAACAAAACAAAAAAAAATTACATACACACACACACATTATATACATATATATATATATATATATATGTATATATACACATATATATATTTATATATACAGGCCTATATATATATATATATATATATGTGCGTGTGTGTTTTTTCAATTTCTTATCCAACTAGCTCTAACTTAATACTGCTTTTGATCTACAGGTTTTGATCTTATTCTTCATTAAAGTTTAAAAAATATATTCTAAAATACACTGTAAACACTTCAAATTAAAAATGAATTTCAATATTGCTCTTAGCAAATCCATGATGGCCCATTTAGCATCACCCAACTGTGGCACAATGAGGCCTAGTTCAAAAGCTTGATCAGGATGTGGTAAATAAGATTAGCAAGACTGCAGACAGACTTACGCATTTAAGGGTCATGTCTGAATCTGCATTTGCCTAATATCAGGTTGTTCCCTGGTCACCATGTGTCATTTGATATCATGGCCTCTAGCCTAACACCTTCTCTGCAGAAAGCCTTATGTAAAGACATTTTAAGATGGGGCTGCTGTGATGCAGTGCAGCACACAGACAGGATGTTGACTTCACTCGCTACCTGCAGAAAACTGATGCGTGTGTGATTGCACTTCAGATGTGGCTGGAAATGCATTAGCCATCAATGATCTGTAATGTAATGCTCTGCAATGTACAAGTTTTACAAATCATGTATTTTCCCAAATAGGTACACCTTAAACCTGTATTAATTACTTTTATTTTAAAGCTGTCAGGGCTGATTTCCCCGGAAATTGCATAGGCTACAGACGCCCATGCCTGTCGCATTATACGTACACAGAGAAAAAAAAAGCTCTGGTTGTGGATAAAGCGTAAAGTTTAAAGTTTGTCGTACCAACATTACCCATGGATCATTTAAAATGACAACCCTCTGACCGCCGTTATTTATTTGTCCATACGCTCTAATAAGATGTCGTGTATGTAGTAGGCCCTACACCGGATTACATGTGCCTCGATTACATTCATCCGCAAAAAGAAATACATAGACGAAGCACAATCAAAAAACAATGTTCTTCCACAAGACTCATGTCGTTTTATTTTTTAACCGCTAGACAGCCAAAGGTTACACAGTTACAAGTTTTAAAAGTCACAACTAATGTCACAATAAATGTCAAGTGTCAATTAATTCCTCACTGTAAAAAATGCCGCAATGTTGTTGCACTGTCTAGATGCAAAATATATTTAAGAAAGTGGCACTTAATACTCACAACTCAAAACAAATATTTTCTGAGCCACTTTTGGGTTCATTTTTAACCAATCCATGTGATGGTGATTTCTACTGAATGTTCCCTTCGTGTTCACAAAGATATGTGTCCTAGCAGAGTACGGGTGTACATTACAGTAAACATGCAATTGTCAACCATAAAGTGTCCAAGTAACTTTTAGTTATATTTATACAAATAACAAATACGTCATATTGTGAAGATTTTTTATTTTATTTTTTTTGCCTTTATAGAACAGTGAAGTATAGGACTGCAGTTTATTTTTAACGTTTAATGTGATTATTTTAGTTAGGTTAAAAATGAAAGGTCTTTATGTTCTGGTTTGTATGTTTGCTGTTAAGAATAGTTAAAAAACAACCTTAATACAATCTCAGGAAGCTTTCAGACAAGTAAAGAGATTGCTGTGTGCACTCTTTGCTTTTTCCTTTTACTCTGATATCTGATATCTTTGCCCCGAGACAGCTTCCTTGATTACACATACTACACCCGTGACTACATGTGCTACTTGTGCTTCATAGTGACTGAAATAAACATGTTAATAATTTTATCTGCTGGTTCTCCAGCAAATTTTTGCTCAGTGTAGCAAACCAAATAATGGACAAGCCAAAATTAAAATCATCAACATAAAAAAGTGTTGCCTTATCCTGACAGCTTGTGTTGTATGTAAACTATCAATACTATTCATCTGTTGCCCGTTCACATTCAATCAGTTCAGTTTGAACTTCTTTGAACTCACCGGCACTGTCACAACGGGTTCTTCTGAGGAAGTCCTTTGGAAGCGCGTCCATCATGAGGGAAAACTAGAAGATCCAGGAAGATCCCCGACTTGTGTCATGAGCAGTGTGATGTATTTCAGACGCTCATTTTAATGTAACTGAGCAAGAGAAGCTTGTGCATCACCCCCACCCTGATGACATGTAGACATATGATCTGTGCCGCCTGGCCTTGTCCTTTAATGTCTGCTCGACCAAGAGTTCACAAGCTCAGCGAGCAAACAGCTAGTGTTATGTTGCTGACCGTTAATCTTTATGCTTTTTATCCACTAGCCACACAAAGTCATTTAGTTTAAATACAAAATATACATATACACAGATGCTCTATTGGATTGAGATCTGGGGAATTTGGAGGCCAGGGCAACATCTTGAACTTTTCATCATGTTCCACAAACCATTCCTGAACAATGTGAGTAGTGTGGCGGGGTGCATTATCCTGCTGAAAGACACCACTTCTACCCGGGAACACAATTGTCATGAAGGGGTGTACCAGGTCTGCAACAATGTTTAGGTATAGGTGGCACGTGTCAAATTTATGTCCACATGAATAACCGGATCCAGGGTTTCCCAGCAGAACATTGCCCAGAGCATCACACTTCCTCCATCGGCTTGTCGTCATCCCACAATGCATCCAGGTGTCATCACTTCCCCAGGTAAACGGCGCAAATGTACATGGCCATCCATGTGATGTAAAAGAAAAGGGGACTCATCGGACCAGGCGACCTTCTTCCACTACTCCAAGGTCCAGTTACGATGCTCATGTGCCCATTGTAGGTGCTTTTGACGGTTGACAGGAGTCATCATAGGCACTCTGATTGGACTGTGGTTAAGCAGCCCCATACGTAGCAGTGTAATGCACTGTGTTGTGACACATTCCTCCCATAACCATCATTAAAATGTTCTGCGACTTGTGCCATAGAAGGACTAGACCAGACCGGATAGCCCAACACCCTGTTGCCGGTTTGTGGTTTGTCCCTCCTCGGACCACTGCTGGTAAATTCACACCACTGCTGACCGGGAGAAACCCTCAAGCCTTGCCGTTTCAGAGATACTCTGACCCAGGTGCCTTGCCATAACAATTTGGCCCTTGTCAAAGTTGCTCAGATCTTTATTCCTGCCCATTTCTCCTGCATCCAACACGTTGATTACAATACCTGATTGTTTGCTTACCATCTAATCTACCCAGACCTTAATATGTGGCCTTGTTAGGAGATGATCAATGCAGGGTCTGGACCCATCAGACACACACTAATTATTCATTATACAAAGGTTTATGAAACTCCAAAACTAACATCCCAAATGAAACGAACACCAGGGCTGAAACAGTGTCATGTTACAGGGCTGATAAGGAAATTTTACGACCACATTCCTTTGGCCACATGCGCAAGAGAGAGACAATGGCAAGACAGAAACAATCTTTAATACAGACTTTGCTGCATTAATCATAGACTAACTGATTTATAAATGAACATGCATAAAACTGCGAAAGAAACAGTATAAATGGTTTACTGTCTTGTGTACTATTATATATTATGGAATGTACCATGGTATACAACCAACTAACGATCAATGTAACCTCACCTGTATCATGCCTCCTACCTAATTAATCCTCATTTAATGACTCACACTTTGATGTACATCACCTTCTTCTAGAATGCATTGTGGATGTGTTATATCTATCTGAGCATTAATGAAGGTATAACCACGCTTGGGACAAAGACTCGTAAATTAACTAGAGCAACCTTCCCACTCAGACATTTCACCTTGCTTATTGGTCCAGTCAACCCTTAGGGGTTGTATCTTTCTCAGGCTTTATTAGAGACAGTCCACATGTGACCTCCCTCTCTTAGTTTTTTCATCCAGCCGCAACACTGTTTCTGGTGACACTGGGGAACCCCTTCCCCCTCCACAGGGGCCCAGGGCCCAGCAGGCCCTGATCCAACTAGATATGGGCTCAGGCAGAAGAGAGAAGACTCTCTCACAAAGAACCAAGGACAATCTTAGGAGTTTGGAACCACGACTCCAACCAACAACGACTCCAATCACCCACTCTTCCGACTTCCTCACTTCTCCTGGGTGCTCGGCATGGCCTCAACAGGGCCCAGGGCCCCAGGCCTTGACCAAACCAGCCATCTGCTCATGGAGAAAAATAACTTTCAAACAACTTCCACTTGCCACTGCCGGAACCCTCAACGACTTCAATTTTCCACAACTTCAAGAATTGTTCCCACTACAAATGCAAGTATTCAATTCAATGAAATGTGAAAATGAAATGCTGTTGGTTCTTCTCATAGTTAGATGGATCTTTTCCATCGTTACACCATTCCATCTCTCCCTCCTGTTTCCTACACATGTATTTATGTATGTTTATTTAGTTTATTCATGTTTATGATTTAGTTAATAAAACTTGCACTTTATGTATTTGGTTCTGATTCACTGCTTGCAAACAAAGTCTCTTTTACGATCTTGATCTAATTATTCTTCTGTGGCCATGGAAGATACCCTTTTCTTAGAATAAATTAATAATCAAAAGAGTTTGTTGGACGAACTGATTAATTGATTGTAATATTAATTTAGCCATGTCAAGTTAATCCAATTAACTGACCCAAATATTCATAATTAATCATATCAAGTCATTATTGATTATTAATACTATTTCCCAGAGCTAAATTCCTTACATCAATGATATTCGTTTCACCTGTGTCTGGTCATAATGTTTTGGCTCATCAATGTATACAGGTATTTCCACCAATTTTGCAATTCGATTTATTTTTTTACTGAATAAAAATGTAATATCACCCTAGCATGACATGTTAACGTCTTGTCGGTATCTGCTAACATTTTAATGCATCGCTATATAAAGCAAGATCAATGTGTACTTGACAGTCATGAACTTCAAAGTGAACTGTTAAAAAATAATGTATCTCCAAAAGCTATAGACAAAACGTTTTTCCAAAATATTTATTGATTTAACAATCAACTTGATCTTAACAGTATTTGTGGTGCATGGTGTTTAAAAAAACCTCAATGCTAAAAAAAGAACATACAAAGATACAAAAAAATATGAATATTTACAAACTGTGACAAAGATAATAATGGGATAAAGAAATACTATTACCTTTTGTTTTGACCCAACACAGTAATATTTATCTTACAAAAGTAAACTAAAATGCTCCTAGAATTGTTATACATTATATTAAATATCAAAATATATCCACATTTATCCTTGTTCCAAGTGAACCCATTTTTATTGTATTTAATGGGTCTTTACTTTACAAAGTTGTGTACATTCAGCTATGATTATCCCATAAGCATGTCCTTGCTTCGAACTGGAACACAATAAGAACAAACTCAGTTCTGTGTGACATAATCCAGTGAAGCGGTAAATTCATATCCTGTCACAAGATGTGCTAGCCTACTGAAATGGAGGGCAACCGCATGTAACATAAAAATTAACGAGATAAGAATCATTTTATTCACTGTAAACCTCGAGGCAAGAAAAAAAGTTATCATGCAAAGAATCTCCATTCATCTCTATTTCATGGCCATGCTGTCAATATTATGCGTCTGAAAGGGTGATTCCTCCACAACATCGGGAGATTGGCGTGCTCGTCTGCACCTCATAAAACACTTCATTAGCAGTTCATCACTGTTAAAGAGGTAAACCAGTGGGTTGATCGCACTATTCATGCAGGCCATTGCATTACCAACCTGGTTTGCGATGTACACATCAGAATACCATTTCAGACACGAGCCGTCCAGCTTGGAGATTCGAGTCGCCAAGTTGAAATTTCTAAAAATATGATAAGGAATGAAACAAATAGAGAAGAGCAGCGTGAGAACGACAACCAGCCTGATACACCTCAGCTTCAAGATGACATCGATGTCTTTCTTGGTCATCAGAGTAAACGCCACATGTCCGTAGCAGCATAACATGATTAACAACGGGATCCCGAATCCAACAACCGTCCTTCCGATGCTGTACTTCAGGTATTCCCTAATGTGCTGGTCCGAAGTTGTGTCAAAACAAGTTGTTTTGTTGCTGGAGGTTTTGTCAAAAAACATATCAGGCAGACACTGAAGAAAAACAAAAAACCAGACCAGCGAAACAATCACCACAGAGTGTTTGGCTGCAATTCTGCCTTTAACTCTCAAAGTGTGCACGATGCCGAGATACCTGTAGACGCTGATGCACGTGAGGAAACCAATGCTGCCGTACAGATTGATGCAAAAACACAATCTTAAAATCTTGCAGAAAACATCTCCAAATATCCACTCGCTGTTGGATGCGTAGTAAACCACCAAATAAGGCAAAGTCAAAAGATATAAAATGTCTGCCAGGCAAAGGTTGAGCACAAATATATTTACATTGCCCATTTTCTTCCAGTTATCATGCACAGATTTCAGCCCCAAGCAGTTGGCAATCACTCCAAGAGTGAAAACAGTCACGTAGACTGAGGGCAAAAATTTGTGCGTAAAATCAAAATTGACAAATTGACAGGTTGAGTTGGTCTCCATCATTGGAGACGATTATCAGACTTTCTTGATGGAGGCTGGAAGATATGTATGACATTCTCGCACATGAAAATGTGTCACAGGAAGTGAGAGCATGCTGACTGACTCCTCAACTGAGCTCAAACCAAAGCCTGTGTTTCAAACAAAACTTTGAACTACTGTATGAACTTTGAACTTGAACTAATCTCTTTAGATTGTAAAAACATTTATGATAGAAATAGCGATACATTTTTGTCTATGAGTCAGAAAGGACCTGTTTAGGGCAGGCTATTACATTTTTATACCCAGGAACCTAATGTAAAAAATGAAGAAGTGAGAAAGGCTTTTTGTTCTTGATTTTCAAAAGCATATGGTTTTGATTTCGAATGCTGCACTCATTATCATTACAGTCCATATATTATTTATTTATATTATATTTGCCCATTCCTGTACATAAGCTATTTCATAATGGTACAAATTATTCTACAATCACTAGCAAATTAGTGATTCTCAAGCAGGGGGCAAACATTTGTAGTCACTGAAGCATCAAATTCTTGCTTGCCCTTCCTCAGAAAAACAAAAGAGGGCAGCCTTGCACTTCAGAATCATTGTAAAGCAAGAGACTCATGCTGGCCATTCAATATGAAGCTACTAGATACAAAGAAAAGGTGACAAGTTCAAAACTTTTTATTGAGAATTTATGAGAAATCTGACAAACCCTATTAAATTTTGACTGCAATGTTGTGAGGTGGCAAATGACAGTGCAATAAAACAAATAATTGAAATTAACATTTGAAATAAATGAACACAAATAATACAAATTCTAGTATTAATGACAGAAAAATAGACATAAAAAGTATTTACATATTTATATACAGTACATCTTTTTGGATGAAATTTGTAAACACTACAGTTAGTGTCAGTCTTCAAATAAAAGCCTACAGTAAATACAGATGAACATGCCACACTTAAATGTAAATTTCGCATATAGCATCACCCAATACCTGAAGAACTTCTGCATTCATGTGTAATGGGTTTTCCTGTACATTTCAAATCTGTCTAACACTTGTGATGGATTTTTTAAATGACTCATAACTAGCATTTATTTTTCTGGCAGGATTAACAATTATATGCTTTTGAAACCTGAAATGTCCCCAAACACTCAGTCAGTCAACGTGTGTCTGAATCATGTCCGAATATAACAAAAGGGGAAATGAAACTAGACAGATGTCTACATTTATGAACTCATGATTTGGAGTAATCAAGGTACCAGACTTTTATGTAGTAAAGGGTTTGCTGAATTACATACATGAAGAACCAATCATATTGTAGAAAAACGATGTAATGAATCACCTTTGCCATGCTCTTATTCTATAAAAACTGTTGAATTCTTTTTGCTGGTGGGATTCTCTCTGAAATTGGTCTGAGGTCCTCCGGCCGTGATTAAAACATATTCTAAGCCAGGCATCGTCTGAAGTCTGTCTGGTTAATACTGCGCAGCAGGTTAGTGGAACACTAGAGGTCTTATTTCCCAAGTGTTAGTGTTCGTAGGGGTCAAGACGTTGACCGACTCAGTCGACGTCGATTAGGAAATGCGATCAATTTCATTAAACGTCGATCAGAGACGTTTAGGGACGTCGATTAGGAGATGACCCAGGTAAACTTAGGTCAGGGGGAAAATCTACCACACACTAATGAGTTTCTTTGCTTAGATTCTTTTGGTGAAGGGGAGAAAATGTTTGATCTTTTATATAATTGTAATCTTTTGCGAGCTAATAGCTTTGGAATTCATTGAAAGCCACAGTTGTTGTCCAATAATATAGAACAAAACTGACAAAGATATTGACGGATTTACTCTTATATAATCATTCAATATTTTCAAGTGTACTACTTTAACTAATGTATCCTCCCACTTAAAGTAAAAACAGATGCCATTGTGTAAAACCAATAGATAAAAAAAAACATAAAAATGACATTTCTGGCAGATCTTAAACTTGTAAAAGTACAGAGCCAGCTGACAGAGGACGTTCGCAGAACTTTGTCCAACGTTCTGGTTAGGTTTGAAAGTTAAGATCAAACATTCTTCCAGTAACGTTAATAGAATGTTTGGTCAGTGTTATCTAGTCTTTAATAATGTTCTTAAAACGGTGGCATAAAAACAATATTTATACATCGGTTATGAAACTTTTTTTTCTGAAACTATTTATTCAGAAACTTATCGGGAACATTAGCAAAACGTTCTTAGAACATTATTGCTAGCTGTGGAAACCTATCCAGTCTTAAGACATTGTCCTGAAAAATAAAAAGAGTCAAAGGCGAAGAGGGGTTTTTCAGTCATTAATCTGAAACGTCAAACCTTGAGTTTGGTCAATGTAACATTTTTTAACTAACACTCAATAAGACATGTAAACCCAGAGCATCTCAAATGAAGCTACTAGATCCAAAGTCAGCCTACAAGCGAGTGAGTGTCTAACCCAGGAGTGGTGTCCTTCTATATGCCCCTCCAGATGAATAGGGGCAGTTGTAATGGCAGATGCAGGAGTTGATGATCATGACAGCATGATTGAGCAGTCTTCCCCCAGGGCAGCGGAAAGTGACCAGTCCCGTGCCAGTATGGTTAGGAGTGCAACAACGGCTATCTGTACATGAGCCACAATAACGGGGCCTATACAACTGTGTACTATAGCAGCCCTGGTGGAAAAGCCGAACTGGGGTTGCTGACCTGTAACTGGGTTGACATTTCCTCCTCGACCACTGAAACACAGATGCGGGGGTTGATTAGAGATTGTTTTGAATGGTCAGAATCCTATGGTAGATCCTAATGGAGACTCACCTGTGTTGTTCTGGGGAGAACAGGCTGACAGGGTTGGATCATACACAAGCGCATCTGCATCTCCAGGCGACAGGCTGGGTTTTGATTGGACACCCGTGTGGATATTCCAGACCCGCAGGTGTGCGAACAAGCACTCCACACTGAGCTCTGGTCTATGCAGTTCGAGCCGGGTCTGGTTTGGTATCCAGGGTCTGCAGGCAATGTCTGGTCAATTCTGGAAGCTGCCATCCCAAACACAATTTAATTAAACTGCAGCACTTACACTTCTTTTAATATGAAACGGGCAACTTTGTACACATAATTGATTATTTGCCACATATTGATTATTTCAGACCCAATGAACTAATGACTTCCTAGTTTAGGATTGAATCACTTTCACAAACATGCCATATTTTGTTTTATATAATTAAAGAAACCTGGTTAACCATGAAAAAGGTTACATCATTTTATCCATCAGGAATCTATTGCAATCGTAAGAAGTGCGCGTAACGTACAACGTAGATGCCATTGCAGAATACTATGTTTTATGGGTACTCTTTTCGAGGGCTGGTTAGAAAAATTATCACATATTGTAGATATTCTTAATCATGAAAATACATAACGCCTTTTAAATTACAGCTTAAAAGTAAATAACAGAATTAAATAATGGAAACGTCATCAAATACGAGAAAAATTCCAATTCTGCTGTTAAGCAGCTCTAAAAAGACAGTACTGTCATTATTAAAGGGTTAGTTCACCCAAAAAATACATTTCTGTCATTAATTACTCACTGTCATACAGTTCCAAACCCGTAAGACCTTCGTTCATCTTCGGGAACACAAATGACAGGTCCGTAGCCAGCCTATTAAAGGGGGGGTTCTTTTTTTTCAAAAAGTGGACCTTTTGCCGTTTTTTTCCTCCTTTTGTATTTAATTAAGAGGTTCAAATACTTCATTTTGGTGACCTTTTATGCACTAATTTGTGCTGGATTAGCTTGTCTGCTGGTTAACGATATTAAAATATTTTATTATTATAATTACACTACGTTTATATGGCTATTATATTGTAGTCTATTGAGTGGATAAAATATAGAAATCCTTTTAATTAAAAAATAAATAAATAAACACACACACATATATATATATATATATATATATATATATATATATATATATATATATATATATATATATAAATAACTCCTCCCCCAGGTGAGAGGGATATTACCCCTCTAGGGGGGTCCGGGGGCATGCTCCCCCGTGAGAAAATTTTAAATATTCCATATTTTAAAGCATCAATCTGATGCATTTTGAGATGCATTTTTTGCCATCTATCTATACAATAGTTTATTGAGCCTTTTCTTTTAACAGTTTTAAATTTCAGTTACAGTGCGCGTGAAGAATGATAGTGCTCTCCTGTGTTCTAACAGACACACGGTAGAAAGGAAGATGGTTAAGATACAGCAATACAGTCCAGCAATATAGTCATTTTATGCGAAACCATAGAGCTTTATCTACAGATCAAGTACAATAATATTAACAGTGAATCATCTTGGAGAGAGTTTCATCATGTTGACTGTCGTAACCGAACACGACGCGCTGTTTGAACGCTGAATGGAGAATGACTGACAGCCGCAGCGGAGGGAAACGTTTACGTGAACTTGAATTTAATGACTTAATGATTTTGATTGTTTTTGTCGATTGATTTCATAAATCAGATGTATTACTTGTCCTAAACTACAACGAGTAAGATCATTCCCCGGAATCGATTCCAACCATTGCATTTTGAACCTTTGGAATCGACTCTCAATTCCCAACGCCTCGGAATCGATTCTTTTTGGACTCGATCCCCAGCCCTATCATTCAGATGCGATGCTTCTTCGCGTTGCTTTGAAAAGTGTATTGCGAGAACGCTCTCTGAACTGCACGCGCGCACACACACACACACACACACACACACACACACACACACGTCCAGCTACAATAATCATATTAATTTGAAACAGCAACACAGAATATTTGTCACAAGCATTGATTAAAACAATGATGACAATAATCACATAAAAAAAAAAAAAAAAAAAAAACGACTTAAATTTTGGACCTTTGGCAGTGAGGGGGGGGTTCGTTCGAACCACCCGAACCCCCCCTGCCTACGGGCTTGAATGAAGATATTTTTGATGAAATCCGAGAGCTTTATGACCCCCACACCCACTACGACCCATAGACTGCAACATTATTACCAAGGCTTTCAAGGCCCAGAAAGGTAGCAAAGTTACAATAGTCCATGTGACTTATGTGGTTCAACCTTAATGTTATGAAGCGATGGGAATACTTTTTGTGCACAAAATAAATAAATAAAAATAACGACTATTCAACTATTTCTTCTCTTCGTGTGAGTCTCCCACGCTCTTCAGGCAGGAGCCGGTAAATACCGAGCCGGCGTTCTGACGTAGAACCCGGAAGCGTTGCACTGTGTTTACAATGTGAACAGCATCAAAGACTGACACAGAAGAGAAGAAATTGTTGAATAAAGTCGTTATTTTAGTTTTTTGCACACAAAAAGTATTCTCGCCGCCTCATAACATTAAGGTTGAAAGCTCTCAGATTTAATCAAAAATATCTTCATTTGTGCTTCGAAGATGAAAGTTCTTACGGGTTTGGTACAAGAGAGTACTGCATTTTTGGGTGAACTAACCCTTTAATCTCAAATCAGTGTTGATTCAGTTCAGTTTAATAACTGTAAAGTTTGTCAATTAGGAAACAAATTCAATTCAGCTACAGTATATGCAGCTCTACAGAAGGCAATCGTGTTGTTATTCAGCTCAAGTTAGTTCAATGTTGATTAAATTTAGCTCAATAACAGTGTTGATGTTGCAAATTGAACGAATTATTAAATTAATTCGATTCAGCTATATAAATTTGCAGAAGACAATAGTGTCATCATCCAGCTCAATTCAATTTACGTTTTGTTATTGTTAACATGAACATAAACATTGTTTTTAAGTAATAAGAATATAATGAGTCTACTAGCTGATTAGCTCATGCTGCAATCACATGCTATGTTTTTGATCATGCACCAAACCAGACTAAATACAAGTTTGCTACAAAAACCCCCCAAAATAGCTATTTAGCAATTTGTGAACATTATCCAATAACCCATGGAAGTGACGTCAATGGAAAAAAGTAATTTCAGAGGAATTTTGATGAAGCATTATGAAGACAATGTTTTTTTTAAATAACACGCACAAATGAATAGTTCACAATAAGACATGGAATATGCATTTAGAAAGTATTAATTTCTATATAATGTTGAATTAAAATATTCATTCTTATCTCATAAAACCTTAGAGCAGTATGGTAATCAGCCCTTTCCATCTGACAATAATTGTTATAATCTGAGAATCTCAAAGAAGGAATACCTCCATCCCTATATAAGAGATGATAATCAACCATTGGCAGTGTTTTATACACATGGATCTGTTAACGTCTTCTCTCCAAACACTCAGAACAAAATGTACCATTCCAGCCGATGTAACTTGGGTGACATTGCTTTTGAACACCCTCCTGACCAGTGTTCTACACTCTGTCTGGCTTTCTGTAGTTTAATTGTTGCGTTACAGAGACATGAGTCCTGTTATGAATCATGGAAAGTTGGCTTCAGGAAGAAGCCAGTATTTGTGCTTTTGGATTCCATCTTGGCAAGACATTTTCAATTAAATGGTCAAAATCCCACAATGAAAACCTCAGTCTGGAATGTAATTGAGAGTGTTCTTAGATAGGATTTTGAATAAGAAATGTGTAAAAAAAAATATGCAAAATCGCCCAATAAAGGACACCGTTTTCATTCCAGCTCATGAAATATAATTACATGAACAACAACAGCCTTTGATTTGTTTGCTGGCACACAAAAAAAAGTGAATAAAGTACCTATGTGAGCGTCCTGGAGCACTGTGTTGTCCATATTTTCACACACCCACTCTTTACAGCATTTTCCTGGTTGCTGAACCCTTCGAGGATGAGGGCAGTCTGGGGTGGGCAGGAGAACATCCTCACTGCACCGGGGCACGCAGGTCACCCCTCCGCCCGAACAACGACACTGAAGAGCACAAGATGGCTGAAATACCTGGCCCTCCTGGTAAGAGACTCCATTATGCTCACAGCCCAGCTCCTTCTGACCTAAAAACAAAGGTCCAAAAGATTACACTATGCAATGCCTAAAACTGGATAGGTCGGCCCGCTTTCACAATGATACTGGGATTATGAAGGTCTAAATGTTTTGGTGTTCTCATAAAGGCTGTATAGGATTCCTAGATACAGGCCTTACTTATTATAAATTCAGTACAACCCTATCATAATTCAAAATATAATGTAATAATCAAATGATAAATCAAATGTGCTAATTCGTACGAATTCATACGACCTCACTCGTACAAATTTGTACGATTTTTGCTAATTCGTACATATACCAAATTCGTATGAATTCCTACGAATGACCTACCCCTGACCCCGCCCCTAAACCTACCCATCACGTGGGTTTAGACAAATCGTACGAATTCGTACGAGTGAGGTCGCACAAATTTGTACGAATTAGCCACCTTTTAATCACTCGTACGAATTCGTAAGAATTGGTCGTGAGATAGCATTGACTCATCTCAGGATGAATCAAATGCTCAAACCGAAATTACAAATGATAAATCAAATGACGTCCCAAATGATGATCAAAAGTTCAAACCGACGTTGTAAATTATATTTAAGAAGTTTCAAGAGCTATGGGTGGACAGTGTTTTGCAGTGTTGAGAGCTTTGAGACAGAGCATTTGGTTGTTGAAGTAGTTTGCACTCACTGACACACTCTCCTGGGTCACCAGGGAAGCTGGCACTGTAGTCACATTGTAGCCCTCGCTGACTGTCACACGGGAACACCTCACTGCAGGCTTCGCCCTGCTGCCGGGCGCACATCTGGCAGCACTGGCACCCATCGAGAATCAGAGGAACTCCTTCTGGGCAGACTGGCACAGAGCCTTGGCACTGACAAGGGCCACCACATTGCTGACAGCACACCTAAGGCAGAATATGGGAACAAGTGTTATGTAACGCATGCAACAAAGCATCAGAGTCATTGTCTCTGCCTTAAATTATTGGATTTTTAAATTAATACATTTTTAGCTAACTGATTTGTATATGCACATTTCTGAAAAACACAACTTAGACAGTTACCTCTGATAACAGATCAATCTAAATTGTAATGTGGACTCGTGCATTTTCTGTAAAGCTGCTTTGAAATGATGTGTATTGTGAAAAGCGCTATACAAATACATGTGAATTTAATTTAAGGATTTCTGATAGTTCACCAGATATTCTGTACATCTGTGCAATAATACTATGTCAATGCATGCAGTTTCAATAATCAAACATTACTTTAATATAAAGTATTTCTTTCAAGTTTCTCATATATATTTGACTATATTTGAATGACTCTAACAATAGCACAGATTGATTTTCAAAACCATGCATTGATAATATGCATAGGGAGAAGCAAAAGGAAAAAAATATCTCCCCTCTTGTGAATCACTTACGGTAAGTATTTCCAGGCTCTAAATGCATAAAAACATGCTTTCAATTATGATCTAGTGCTAGAGCCAAAAAACAAACTTCAATACAAAATATTTCATTTGTACAGAACATTCACGCTTTAATTAGGAATTAATGCTACATTGCATTCAGTTTATATTGGAAAACCCCTGTTTAATAATGAATGAGTTCTCAAAGACAAATCTTCCAACAAAAACTCTTACAATGCCAATTCACAAAAGTATAACAGGATATAATGTCAAGCTGTTCCACATAAACTTGAACAGACAGAAACATGTTTCCACTGGCAAAACACATGCATGCATGCAAACAAGTTTGCTGGGAACGTGTGATTCTCACCTGTGAACCCAGGTAAAACAGCAGTGCCCATGCCATCAGGATGATTCTGTCTCTCTGTAGCTTGTCCATCATGCTCTTCGATGTGTTGCACCACAATAAGATTTTCTACTTGTGTTACTGTTTGCTCACTGCCTGGCTCTGTGCACATGCACTTTTATAAAGTCCTCGCTCTGATGTCATAGCCTGACTGCAGGGTAAACAGTGGCTGGACCTGGATCAGAAATGTTTCAAATTCCACATCTCCGTTGCCCATTTCCACAACCAGGAATTATTTTCTCCCTCTGCTCGTCTGCTCTGGCGTGCAGAGGGGAAGCATGGACATTTGGAAGAGGAGACAGCACATTAGGCTTTCTCTTGACCACATCCAAGTTTTCTGTTTACTTTTAGAGTCTAACCGCTTTTGTTTATTGAATTACATCAAATGTATTTGAATAAAACAAACGTTTGATAAGAAATTGGGAGCATGGTATTGCACAACAGTTCAATTAAAAGGTTTATATTGCATACATTTTAGACACAATTGCTCGCCAACGAAAATGATTCAAAGCAGAATTCAAACAAATAGAATAATCACACAGTCATTGCGCTCCTGAATGAATCAGTGGTTCTGAATCAATAGGTTGTTGAGTAAACGATTCAATGACTCACTCATAGACCATGTACGCACTGCAAAGTTTCAGTATCAGGAGTGACAACCGCATTTAAATAAGGGAGTGAATCCCCTAAATTATCGATCTGTGTGTGTTCGGAACACGACGCTCTCCCGGAAATGCGACAATTGACACCATTGTAACCATTGTGTCTCACTTGTTTGGTATGAGGTATTTTTTGACAAAAGCCAGGAATATTACAGCGACCAAACACTTATGTTCTGCAATTTTATCCCATTTTGTTTAAGCTGGGAAGGCTATACGCAGCACGTGCTGCTCTCTTGCAGTATTGCAATGTCTTCTTATTATAAACATTTTTGGGGGTTTGTTGTTTGGGCTTGGCTCATAATGCGAAGTTTATGGAGTTATTAAATTGAGGAGGGGAAGGTCGCAATGTTTTGGTCTTGTTTAAATATAACGCAGTTGTATTTATTTCAGTTTTTGTTCTTGTTCACTGCAATATCTGGCAACACAAATGAGTCAAGGCAAACTGAATTACTGAACAGTGTGTGTAGGCTCCAGAACAGGATTAAGCACTAAAAGGTGAATTGACAACTGAATTTAGCTGCTGTGTGTAGGCTACGTGTCAATAAAGCTCTTCACTTTTTTCCCCACCTACTGGCGTAAATATGTAACTTGCAGAAAAAGTCATTGAAAATCCCCCAACACACTGACAATCTTTCTGGAAAGTGATGCAAAAACAGAATTTTTGGAAAACTGCATGGTCATCAAATTTAAGGTTCCGGAACTAATTGTGGTTTAAATTTTAAAAGCATTTAAAATAAAGCATTTGCGCCAGTTTAAAGTGGGTGTCACTGAAAAAGATTTTTTAGCTTCTCAAAAAGACATTATACATTTTTCACGTCGAGTGCTCAGACAAAACAATCCTATTGAAATGCAAGATGACCCGCTGGGAACGACAGTTTAAAAATAGACCTAGACGGGAAATTCACTTTTACTAATACCACAGCTCTTGATAATTCAGCTGGAACACATGTGGCCTGCCAGATACAGCAAAAGTGGAGTGGATATTAGTTCTGTCTAAAAATTCTGTCCAGCCACTCTTATATTTATTTTGACATCCTTTCCAAAAGTCACAAATGTTTGGAATATCACCATAAGGGGTCGTTTTGGGTATACGAGGCATTCTTTATGCAAAACACAGTTAGCTATTCAGAAAGAAACATATTGTGCAACTCTATCATGCTATGCAAAGCTTTTTGATTAGGTTTAAGAGTGGGGAGGGCAAACAAATGAAATATTATTATCATATAAATGTTATTACAATAAACATTCACTAAAGTCCACTGGAAATATGTAATAAGTTGTCAGAAATGTCTAAATTTGTTCTGGAAGGATGATCTACAAAAATATTGTTTAAATGTTTAGAGATTAACTGGGCAAGAAAAGCAGATGTGGGACAAAAACACCCTCTTTCATGTTTAAAATTCAGTCAGTTGTGACTAGTCCAATAATGTCTCATGGAAAAGTTTTGGCTTAAAGTGAAATGCATGCATCAAACTGTTTTCTACACTTGCTGAGTGGCGGGGGAACTGACTTAAGTTAACAGAAATACTGGAAAGGCAGGCTCTAAACCGGCTGTGGGCAGGAGTGATTTCATTTAACACCTGCTTTGGTACAGCAGAGTAAAAACCTGAATACTAAATGACAGAGCAGTACAGTCACATGGCAATTCTATTATGAATGTACATCCGCCATAGCAGGAAACCTCTCTCAGTGTGGTGTGATTGGTTTTTATTAAAAAAAGATGCTGTGGTCTGTAAACCTCATTATGCTTTTGGTATTGGGAATAGGTAATCTTTGTGTTTATTCCATTCATCCCAATTCTTGTGCGCTGCACATGTGATCTTCAGGGCTATGGCTTAGGACCTTTCCAATTTCCAGATGTTACCACACACTCTGTAATAAAGAAGAATTACTTGATGAATCAACATGCTTGACCAGACAAACTGAACATAATTCTAACATTTCTTAGGATTCGCCAGACAATTCCTTATTGACTTAATGTTAAAAAGCCTATGATTTGCCTTTGAGGTTTGAAGAATTTGGCCTCAACTGTAACACAGTTAATCAGCTGGAGTCATAGTTAGTCACATTTCAGAATCTTGGATCTCTAACCTGACAGTGAGACCAAAAATGTTTGCAAACAAAATACATTTCTGAATTGTATGAATAACCCAGCAAAATATATGTTCTGAGAACATTTTTCAAAACTCACAGTTTAAAAAAAATGTGAATGTTGAGGGAACATTCCATTTAAATTTTGCAAACATTATTGGAGTTTTTAATGTTCTCTGAACGCTCCGAATGATACATTTAAAAAACATAGACGACGGTCCGACATTAGCCTATTAATGACCATAACACTGATCGAACGTTCTATTATCGTTACTGGAAGAAAGTTTGCTCATGACTTTGAAAGAACCTTAGAACGTTAGCCAAAGTTCTGAGAACGTTCCTGTACAGCCGTCATTTGAGAGGGGTCACAAATATTTGTATTATTATTTGAAGATAATTTATAATTCTACACCCATATTATCTTAACGCTCCGGCTAAAATCAATACTTTACAATATTCTGCTTAGACGAACGCTGCAACAATATTATACAGTCAAATGAGATGGCGCCAGTTGCGTTATAAAACAAAGGAGCGAGTCGTGGTGAGAGCCGTGCAAAAATGATTAATGTCTCAGATCGACTTATATCATTTGTATATTCTCTTGCTTGGCGTCATTGTTGATTTGTTCACCATCAAAATCGCCGCATGCAAAGTAAAACATTAAAGCTTCCAGGTTCCTTTCTTGTCCCTTTCATTTGAACAGACCTTTTACTGCGAATCTTTTAATCGCAGCTGCAGCCCAGATGTGAAGCGATGTAGACAAATTACCCTCTACAAGGAAGAACTTGAATCTGACTAACTGTTTTTGAGGAGAGGAAATGATACGTTCCAAGCATTCTAACTAGATGTGTGAACTGCGAGAGTCGTAACAGGAAAGCCTTTGGTTTCTGATAAGAGCACTGTCCTAAACAAGGGTCAGGTAATGACGTTTGAGAGGAAGCAAATCTGACAGTCACAGGAAAGATGTCAGACAACACACACACACACACACATGCAGTAACAGCTTTATGGGAAGAGCCCAGTAACCGCCTGGAAGGGAATATTAAAATATTTCAGGTGAATCTGTGAAATCTATCACTGTAAGCTTCGAGTCACATTGGAATTTACAGTATGAGAGATGCAACATTCTGCAGAATTGCTTATTAAAATGTTCTTAAAATGTTTCTTTTAAGACATGCTCAGGGAAAGGTTATTTAGAGAAAAAAAAATGGTTCTTGGGCATTGTTGAAGAAAAACTCCTTTTGGAACCTTTAAAGATGCCATCATTCAAGTTCTACACATCGCATATTCCTTGAATATGAGTTGAAAAATACTGCATTTTTCATTCAGCTACCAGTAAGAATCTAGTTCTTTCAGCTCTATTTAACGATTAACCATATCCAATTAAATAACACAAATTTTCCTCCAAAATTAGTTTGGAAAATATGAAAAAGTGTCCATGATCATGATCATGGACCTGTGCTGCTAATCATGTTACCATTGCAGCTCATAAAAATGTACTTGTCATTATTTGGGAGCGTGGATGTTGTTTTATCAAATTTATGAATATAATATTCTGAAACAATACTAGATCAGAATCACTCAGTTGACAAGGTTACTGGAAACTGAAATCAAATATTTAAAATATCCTCTTGGTCTTAATATAATAAGACTATAGCAACAACCCTGTTCCATTACAGGAGTTCATGCCTTAAAATAAACGAGAACAAATAAATACAGGACAAGGGATAGATTCACAGCAGCAGCTACTTCCTAACATGTGGCCAGCAGAGTCAATATTTTGAACGTATATTCTGCTCTTTACTGTAGCTATAGCAGAGAAGATCTCTTAGACCTCCAACCCACTGAAAGCTTCTTTCACTTTCTAAATGAAGACAAAGGTACTGATATGAAAGAGCATAAGAAATGCTAAGGAAATGCTTGATCAAACAATACGTTCAAACCACATTTGGTTAATAACATATGATATGACTCATATTCGATGACAGTTTAGTGATAGCATAGGGTGAATTCAGAAGACGTCACAGAGTCATGAACATCAAAAAGTGGTGCTTTTTTCCGTCAGACAAGGGGGCATGTACGAGCCACAAATGAAAGAGAACAGACGTAAATAAATGGAAAAAGGAAAAAAGAACGTTTTTACATCTGCTCAAAAGCTTTACATCTCTAGCATGTCTTAAAAGCATAGAGCACAGCACACTGAGGGATTTATAGAAAGCGTGGTGCTACCACATTCTCAAGCACTGTTCCAGCAGACTGATGTATGACACATTTAATGGGATGTTTTTGCTGGTTGGGAAACCAGGCCCATGTGGTTTCATGTAGGGTTAGATTAGGCCAAGTTAAACAAGGGTTGTTGTTTAGGAACTACTCTGTGTTAAAATGTAATACTTTAGGCATCTAGTAACTGCTATGTTGCATGCATAACATGGCAATGTCTCTTATTTATCTTACGTTTTTTCCACATGGTTTATGAAAACATGTGGCAAGAAAATTCTCAGCAGTGCATGCATTCAAATATGCAATGTCATGAATAAAAGATTCTC